GTCAAAAAACAGTCCAAAGAAATCACCTGCCAGTAGCGGCAGACCAAAACAGTAGCCAAGAAGTGAACACAAAAAAAAGGAAATTTATCGCAAATAAGCTAAAAAGGAAGAATAACATCACATTTGTCCATCATCAAAATTGTTTTCAAAAATAGACAAAGGACGATAATCTTTTCAATAATAGTCTTAAAAATTGCTCTTAAAATGATAACCGGACATCCAAAATGAAACCATATCTAGCGGTTGGTATACTATGGGAGCAACCCACGGTGAGCATGGTGCTCCCACATCTAATTCACGCGTGAACAGTAACACGTGTGAACAATAACTTTTTCTGAAGAGAAGACATCTTAACGTGAGAAGTGAGAAGTTAAACATTTACCCTTTTCTGATGCATTTTTTTGCTAATCTGATGCACTTTTTGCGATAGCAGAAAAGTTCCGATTAATTACGGAAATGCCACCGCGTCTAGCATCACTTTTAAATGTTTTTTCCACTTCCCCAACCGTTAGATCTAAAATTGAACGCACCAGATGCATTCCCACTTCTTACGATAAGTACTCTTCTCATTTGATCCTTATTATATATATATATATATATATATATATATATATATATATATATATATGTATGTATGTATGTATGTATTTGTGTCTGTATATATATAGGTTGGTTCCTATGAGAAAGGAGTCCCAGGAGAGAAATTAGAATCAAATCTAGCCTTTAATCATTTCAATCTGATGGCCAATATGTTTTCAACATGAAGCGTTATAGAACAAGAGTTTCGGACTTCACAATTGTTAAATAAGGCAACATCTAAGACCATCATTATTGAGGGGCACATTAGTAAAACACCAATATCATTCAGTTTTTTAAAAATCGCATCGTACATCATATAAATTAAATCCCTGAATTTATTCAACTACCTAAAATAAAGTTTGACTTAGTTCATTATGTATGGTACGCACTGTCATATTATAATGGAGATAAGGTTGTTACCCAAATCAAATGTGCATCACCGTTGAAATTAGAGTGCATCAGTCTATTTATAATTTTATAATTGCACAAATGAAAGAGAAAGGTGCACCAACTTACAATGTTGTATTCGAAAATATAACATTCAACCCAATTATATAACTTCAAGTTTACACTTTTAATAATAAAGTTTACATATATTCATTTTTGTGCACTAAATTGATCTCCAAAGTGCATTGACATATTATATAACATTATTGATAAACTTATAATGCACCAGAACATGTTTGAAGTGCACTCTGTAGAGCTAACTAAGGGGTTGTTTATTTTTTTTCTCATTAAGTCATGAATGGATTAAGATGTCTGTCTTCATTAAGCTGTCTGTCTGGATTAAGTTACACTGATATAACAAGTTATTTACTAAGTGTGCTGAATGAGAAGTCTGAATCATGTCTAATGACCAAATAATCCTCATGTGTGTAACAAGTGGTGAATGTGGTTAAAAAGGAGAAATATGGTCTGTTCCATAGTATGACAATCTGTACTGCGAAATAGCACTATAAGAACAGGAAGAACCTAGTAGGAAAACAGGCAATTGCATTACCATGATTACCAAATTTAATTAAGGCAGATATTTCTTAAGAGAGAGTTGTCATCAGACGAAACAATTCAAGCATAGAAGATCCACTAAGGTTGCTCAAAAACCTGATCAAGCATTGCAAAATCTAAAATTTTATCTCAAAATGAAATACTATATATATGCTAAAAAAATGAAATTATTATCTAATGTGGAAAGATAGAAGCCATAATGTTCTTTAAGATGCTTGTTCGGGTTGCGGAAGAGACGGACTTTGAAGAAGAGATGGAGCATCGATTAGTCACACAACTAACACCAGCGATGGATAATAGCAGAGGAGGGAGATGAACAACCAATTCAACTCCAGCAAAACCCAGATGAAGTGAAGGTGACGGCAATGTCCGGCTAAATCTAGCGATGAAGGGAACGAGGGTTAAAAAAGAGAGAGCGGATACATGTGAATGTCTGAACGGTAAGGAGTGTTGATTTTGGACTCAACTATTAAGTCAAAAATGGTCTGAGCGAATAAGTCATGGTTTAAAATAAGTCCTAAGTAAACAAGAGTATATGGCTGATCGAATAAGTCGTTGTTTCCATACAGACCATTAAGTCAAAAGTAAACAGCCCCTAAGTGTATTTTTTCAAAGAGTATGTTATTCACATGAAATTCCTTCATCCAATTCAATGATTTTTTTCATGATACGAACATTTAGAATATTAAAATTGCTCATTTTCTTTCATTCACTCGTGATAATAATAAATGATACTTTGTGCACTAAACTGAATGTCAAATTGAACTAAATTTAACATCAAATAGCTTTGAGATGTTCAGTGTATTAAACTTTGTGCATTAAACATGACGTCGAAGTGCATTGAGGTATTAAGATATTGGAAGTGCACAAAACTTTGTACAATATGCAATACTTCGTATATTGGAAGTGCACTAAAATTGTGCATTAAACTAAACGTCAAAGTGCATTGAGATTTAAGTATAAATTAGTGATGAATTTACTATGGACCAAAATACATTTGAATTGAATTACATTATATAAAGCTATTTAAGTTTCTTTTATACAATTTTGTTTAAATTTCCTCATAATATCGCACATCATATATCTAAATTTCTTTGAATTTGATTTAAGCAAGTGAAAGAGTACGTTAATAATATATACCGAGTAACACATCAAAAAGTATTGTTGTAAAACAAAATGTGCATTATATAAAATAGTACAGTGCGTCGTAATACGTTGTTATGTGCATGTAAAAGAATAAGTAAAAAAGAATTTAAAAGGAAATAGTAAAAACTTTTATATATATGAGCAAATACATAATCAAAATTATACAACAGTACTAAGTGCACCAAAAACAATTAGAAATCATAAAACGAATTTCAGTATAAATGAAATCCAAACTAAAATCCATGAGTGTATAAATGAATAAAAATAAATTGAAAATAAATTAATAGAGAAAGCACTCACTAAAATCCTAGAGGAAGACGGTTGAGATGTAAAAATCAACCACAATAAGGAAAGTAATCGTCTAATTGATATTTGTGAACGGTGAAAACCATAAAGGAAAGTAAACCAACCTATCGCAAGACTAGTAAAACGGAAATAATAATAAAAGGATATGAATAGCCCTCAACAAATGAAATCGTATGAGGCTAATAATAGATGATCTAACGGTTGATATATATTCTTTTTTCTCTCCTAAGATCAAATTCTCACATGATCCTAAATCTATATATTAATATATATATAGAGGAATGTTCGGGTCCGAATATTCCCCGTCCGAACACCGCCGTTCGGGGCGGTTCCCGGTCGATTTTTTTGAAGTTGACTGCGTTTTTCTATGTATAATTTGGCGCAGTCAACTTCAAAAAATCATTTGAAGGCCTTCCCGATCGAATTTTGATCTGAAATTAGGTATTGAGAAACTAGACTTGATGAAGAACATACCATAACAATTTCATAAAAAAAATCGACCGGGAACCGCCCCGAACAATGGTGTTCGGACGGTGTTCGGACGGGGAATGTTCAGACCTGAACATTCCTCTATATATATATATATATATACACACACACACTTCGTACTACGTTAACTTTTAATAAAATGTGTAAATACGTATACGTGTATAATACGGCATCTTTTAGAAAAAATCGGGTTAAAATACGAGTCTTATTTTGAATGATTATATTATTGTACTAGTTTTTAGAGCATAAAAAACATATAGAACATAAAGGATAATCAACATACACACACATTCAAATATAATATCTCATTACTCCATCAAAAAATTCATTCATAATAGCATAAGTTCATGACAAAAAAAATAATTAAGTCCAAAATAACATTTAAATTGTATACTTCATAAAATAACATATACAGTAATAAAAAGAAATAAGAGTGTATACATATTGAAGTAGCAAATCGATCACCTTAGTACATAAAAGAATCATTCGTAATTGCATAAGTCGATGACAAAAGTAAATATAGTACGGAGTAATTAAGTCCAAGACATAATTTTGCAAAGTAATGTCAAAAAATAAGGCATAATAAGGATAGAATGAGGCCAAGTTAACATCATCATCTTTATATGATCATTAGATAACACTCAAATTAAACTCATCATTTTCACCTAGATGAGAGATGACATGAGAAAGTTGTGCGACTGCTATACTTATTATTGTTTATGTGTAAAAGTTTATACTAAAAAATGTCAGGTTTAGAAACCCTTAATTTTGATATGCTTGTTTGGAAAAGAACATCACAAATTTAATACGTAGTAGTATTTTAGATTTTAGTCTATTAGGATGCTAGCTTTAGTCATCATGCAATTAATTTTAGTATTTAACAATTGTATATTTTGTATTAATACAAAAACACGGGGTCACGGGGATGAAGTTTTCTTTTTTGCTTCTAAACTATTGTTGATCTCCTATTCATTTGATGTATTCATTCAAGTGATCAAATGATCTTTTTATTTTTTGTAAAATACGGGAAATATACGTTTTATACGGGAAGTTGAAGTTTTTTTCCTTTTTAAACGGACCGACATTATTTTTCGTTTTGAACGCGTTTTTTGTTCAAAAAAATGGTACGTGTTTAAAACGTGTTTTAAACGCAAAAAAGCTAACTAGGCTTCATAGAACTTATATGCTTGATTTAAAATTACACTACATGTTCTATTAAATCATAAAACACATATTACGGAGTATGATATACATTTTTACCATGTAAAATTAGATTAAAACAAAGTAAAGTTTATTGGGTGAGATTAGTGCAGGAGTATTTGAAAATGACAAAGTGCCTTATACAAAAAGCAACCATAGAAACAAACATGCTTTTCTTGACAAATCTGTACTTGGGACGTACAATAAAATATGGATCTACGGAGTATATAATAAGAACATAATGTTGAATTGGTTTTGTCTTAACTAAGCATTTGGCATTATATGCTTTCATTCCTCATAGTTTGTTTCAAGTAACTCAATAATCTCTTCTATTCTCTTAAAGTTAGACTCCATCCTCGAAGGTCTCGAAAACTTACCCAAACTCTTAAGAGAAGTATATTCGAGTCTAAGTAAGGATGGACGACGAGGGGAATAATGGTCGGCTCAATTACTGGTGCAACTCATGCCAAAAAATCATCAGCTTCTCTTCTTCTTCAGAGAGGGTAATATGTCCTACAGATCCAAACCATACACTAGCCAGATTCACCCCTCTAGTTAGAGATGATGGTCAGCGCCTTTATTGGTGCTCCATATGCCGAACACATTTACTCTTAACATCTGCTTTCGCGAATACTTTCACCTGCACAAGATGCGCAAATCCCATCTGCCAAATTCGAGGGCTTACAGTATACAGACAAGGCCGATTTGGCGTCATTATGGATCCGCCAGATTCTTACCATGATTTACATCCGAGGTTGCCTCTCGTCGAACACATAATACTTGACCACAATGATGGAGAAGCATTATCAATAGGAGCTTTTCCGCCAGCCCGCCCTGAAGCAGCACCAGAGCCTGTAATCGCTGCGATTCCGACTGTGAAAATCTCCGAATCTCATTTGGCGGCGGATGACTCCGCTCATTGTACTGTTTGCCTGGAAGCTTTTGAGGTTGGAGTGGAGGTAAGGGAGTTGCGGTGTAAGCATTTTTATCACAATGATTGTATTCTTCCGTGGCTGAGGAGTACCAACTCTTGTCCTATCTGTCGACGTGAAACAACCTTAATCGGTATTCTTGAGCATAAATATGAGCGTGAGGGAGGAGGGATCAATTGGATCATGATGATGAGACGGCGGCTCAGCGATTATTTGGGGAGTTTTGTTGCACGGCTGAAGCGGCGGTTCTGCGATTATTTGGGGAGTGTTGTTACACGGCTGAAGCGGCGGTTCTGCGAACCATGGCTGCTCGGGCGTCATATTCATTTGCTTGTTAATAGTGTTGTAATATGTTCTATTTCTGGTCACCTTATTATTATTATTATTATTGTAAATCTAATCTAATCTAATAAATTTGGAAAACTGTCAAGGGTGATTTCTTTTTTTACAGGAGTGCCATGCATTGGTTGCCAAAATGCGGGACTTTTTTTAGGTTTTCTTAAAAAATGGAAAATGTGTTCCATGAATCCGAAATATGTAGGGTTTATGGGGGAACTGTAGGGAAATTTAAAAAACGGATTCCATGAATCCGATATTGGGTTTTAATTTTTTTACAAGATGCTTGAGTAAATGACTAAGTTGAGTGGGCATCAGGTTTTTTTACGGGAGTGCCTTGCTTCAACAGGTTTTTTTTAAAAGATTTCTTAAGTTTTTTAGATGAGTCCGTATACCATAGGACCGGCCCAGTATGAGCATGCTACACCCGCATGAATACGACGTCGTTTTATTAATTAAAAAAACGCGCACAAACGGCATTCTAGAAGTCGGCGCGTCTTTTCTCGTAATAGCTGCGTCTTTTGAAATTGGCGATTTACATTTCTCGATAAACTTTCTGACTTCACGCTTCCATCAAGTTTCATCAGACAGAGTTCCACCATTCGAAGTGCATTCTGAAGAAGGAAAAGTAAGAATCCGAACGAAGAAGAACGTTTTGCAGATCGAGAAAATGACGAGGTCTAAAGGCAAAACAGTTGCAAGGTATTTCATCCGAACGAACTATGTACTTTGCTTTTTGAAGTTCAAAATGTATGTCTGAGCATGTAACAATATGATTCATGTGCCAATTTGCTATAAATTTTAACATGCATGTAAGTCACTCTCAAAAACGAAAGAGATTGAGTATTGAATAGTGTGATTTATGTCTTATTGTGATCTCAATTTGAATAAGCAAAGTGTGAATGCTCATATGTCATTGAGCATAATAAGGAAATTGTCTATGTTAAGATGTAACTACAATTTTTGGTAATATAGTGTTGCATGCCTCAATATGTTTGTTATGCCTTAGTATGTCATTGAAATTTTTTGGTGATATAGTGTTGCATGTCGGTGAAACTAATACCAGATTAACTTTATTAACTTTATGTAACTTGTGTATAATAATACATAAATCCTCTGCCTTGGTCTGTGACTGTAACTAAGTCCACATTACATTGTTCATCTGATTGTGAATGATGTAACTTCTTTTCACTGTTATGTAAATTGTGTGTGACAAGATGTAACTCATTTGCTCCACATCACATTGTTCATCTGATTGTGAATGATGTAACTTCTTTTCACTATTATGTAAATTGTGTGTAACAAGATGTAACTCATGTGCTCCACATTACATTGTTCATCTGATTGTGAATGATGTAACTTCTTTTCACTGTTATGTAAATTGTGTGTGACAAAATGTAACTCATGTGTTCCACATCACATTGTTCATCTAATTGTGAATGATGTAACTTCTTTTCAATGTTATGTAAATTGTGTGTGACAAGATGTAACTAATGTGCTCCACATCACATTGTTCATCTGATTGTGAATGATGTAACTTCTTTTCACTGTTACGTAAATTGTGAATGACAAGATGTAACTCATGTGCTCCACATCACATTGTTCATCTGATTGTCAATGATGTAACTTCATTTCACTATTATGTCAATTGTGTGTGACAAAATGTAACTCATGTGGAATAAAAGGAGAACAAGAAGTGTTGTAGCTCCTGAAAATGAAACTCAGCATACAGAACATCAGAATGAAGCTGCAAGGATAGTGAACACAGAAGAACCGATTCTAAGGCTAGAATATCATCAGCCAACAACAAGCAAAAAAAAGAAAAGCAGCCCCAAAAAAGAAGAAAGTAGAATCTGAAGAATCAGACGATGAATGTGAAGAAGTAGAGACAAGCAACAGGCCGCCTTCTGTAAACCTCAGAACAAGAGTAGGACCAGTCCCTTTCATAAAGTTGATTAAACAATTAGATGAAAGAAAAAAAGTAGCAGTTGAAAGGATTGGATTTGGGAGATTACTGTATTTAAACTTTGCCAGATTCTATGGAGATTTGGTTGTGTTTCTGTTGAAGAACTTTAGACCAATTTCAGGACAGCTACAACTTGCCAATGGTGAGCTGCTAGATATTGAAGATGAAGATGTCAAAGTTGTATTTGGTCTGCCAAAGGGAAAGATAGAAGTTCAAGAAGCGAATGCGAAGAATGAAACTGAAGAGTATACCCAACTGTTACAAAAATAGAGAGAAGAATGGGGGATTGATAAAGGAAGCCCTCAAACATAAAAAATGATTGAAAAAATAGTTGCAGATACTGATTCTGGAGACAGATTCATCAGAAACTTTGTGGTCTTTACAGTCTCTTGTCTGATCAGAGGAAACCAGAGTGTCAACAGCAATTTTAAAATATTGATGTCTTTGGTGAATGTAGCTGATATACCAAACATGAATTGGTGCAACTACACAATAAGATCGTTGATGGATGCAGGCGAGGAATGGCAAGCTAATCAATCAAAGATGTTCAGTGGACCATTATTGTTTCTAATGATTTGTTACTTTGACCGAGTACAATTCAAAGGCCAAATTATGAAGAGTGCTTACCCAACCATTAGAATCTGGGACAAGGAGAGAATTGACAAGAGAGTCAAAGATGAGAGAAAGGTGGGCTTTGGTCTGGGAAAGGTGACAAAGCGAATAATAACAGTGGAAGAGGAAGACAAAGATGAAGAGGAAGCAGGAAAAGAAGATGAAGAAAATGAAGATGCTGAAATGTTGTCAAAGGAGGTAAATTTTAATACAACACTTTGTGATCTTAAAGACTATTTTATGTAACTTAAATCAATTGTTACATAACTATAAGATTTTTCCAAGGAGCCTGTAATCTTAATTCAATAACTATGTATCTTATGTATTATTAAACAATTATTATTATAATTTTTAGAGGATTGTGTGAAGGAGATTATAGTTGTGGCACAAAAGTTTAGTGATGCTTTTGTGGAATTCTCAAAGTTGACATCAACCATTGCAAAAAAGTCCCCCAATTCTTATATCTTGAAGAAGATATTCTTGACCACAGCTGATTACTTCATCAATCAAGCAAATGGAAATCAAGCAAAAGGAACTCAAGATTATCAGAGAAGTGTGTCCTTGAGGAAGATGATGACTTCTTTAATGAGCCTGGAGTTATGGAAGCCCTTGAGAGACTAGAGAAAGCAACATTCCTGAAATTTTCAATGCCTTCATTTGACTTAGAAATTGAGTTTAACATGTCACGGGGTGAAGGCACATCAAAAGTGGATGTAGAAGTTGCGAAGACTGAAACTGCTGCTGATGTAGAAGATGTGATGACTGAAACTGTTGATGGAGTGGAAGATGTGATGATTGACATCGTTGCTGGAATGACTGAAACTGTTTCTGTTGATGGAGAACTAATTGGTGAGGTTGAAGTTGTTGGAGTGGCTCAAATGGCTGCTGAGGAAGAAGTGACTGCTGATGATGGAGATGCAAACAAGGAAATATATATATATATTTAGGATCACATACAACCTAATCCTAATTTACAAAATGCAAACTAATCTTGTCCATCCATATTGAACGAGAAAACGGTGTAGATGGAAAACACCCCACTAATACGTCGATTTGCATGTGGTGGTTAGGAGATAAATTAACTCCCCCACTAATACGGATGACAATTAGTGATCAAAACAAATCTTACCCTTGATTTGTTAATATTGGACGGATGAGATGATTTTGCATTTTGTACGGGAAGCATACTTTGTATCCGATCTTAACCTTATATATATATATATATATATATATATATATATATATATATATATATATATATATATGGAAGAGTTCAAATGAAAAGTGGTCTTCCCGTGCAAAGTTTTCACTTTTTCATATTTCGCTTGCACTTTTTCTTGTTTACTTTGCACTTTTTGGCCATTTTGATTTTGGCCAAATTCGGCCAAAATGACGGTGGCAGTTTTGTAAATAAACCAATTTTTTGAGCTACCGCGAAAAAGTGCAACGAAAGCGAGAAAAAGTGCAAGCGAAATATGAAAAAGTGCAAACTTTGCACTTTGCACGTTAAGATCACTTTTTATTTGAACCATCCCCTATATATATATATATATATATATATATATATATAGGGTGCGGTTCCAGTAAGAACGAACTCCTAGGAGAGATAAGAATGAATCTGGACCGTTGGATTGTATTATGTGGAACGGAAATGTGCATTTGATGAAACTGAAATGTGTACTAGATGATACTGAAATGTGCAGAATAAAAATTTAAACTCAATTGTGCATTAGGTGAAACTGAAATGTGCGGAATAAAATGTACAAAAATAACATCACATCGTACCTTTTATTCTGCACATTTCAGTTTCACCTAGTGCACATTTCAATTTCACCTAATGCACAATTCAGCTTCACTTAATGGCATTGCATCATACGCTTTGTGTTGCACATTTCAATTTCACCTAATGCACATTACAGTTTCATCTAATGCACATTGAATTTCACTTAAAGCAAATCTAACGGTCCAGATTCGTTCTCATTTCTCTCCTAAGATCATGTTCTTCTTTGAACCAAAACATATGTGTATATATATATAAGAGATCGAATACAAATCATGCTTAAAATAGTAACCTACAAACTCAATAATATGCATCACTTTAAACTTCAATATGCAATAAAAATAATGTAAAGATGCAGGGGTGAGATCACATACAAACTAGTTCTCCCATTCAAATCATCTTTACATTATTTGTATTGCACATTGAAGTTCAAAGTGTTTCATATTATTCAAGCCATAAAATAGCAGTTTCATATTTACATTATTTGTATTGCATATTGAAATTCAAAGAGTGCATCTTTACATTATTTTTACTGCATATTGAAGTTCGAAGTGTTGCATATTATTGAGTTTGTATGTTAGTAAGTTAAACATGGTTTGTATGTGATCTCACCCCTGTATATATATATATATATATATATATATATATATATATATATATATATATATATATATATATATATATACAGAGAGAGAGAGAGAGAAGAACGAGAAGTGCCCTTTAAAATGAGAAGTGATAAGTAATCTCAGCCCTTGGATTTGCATGTGATCTTGCAATG